GACCATTGTCTTCGGTCCCCTCTCTTTGGGGCATCTGGTGCTGGCCACTGTTGGCAGACAGGCTACTGGGCTGGATGGACCTTTGGTCTGACCCAGCACAGCTGTTCTTATGACCTGCAGCCAGGCAGGTGTTCCCCAGTACCGAACTCTGGGCTAACAATGCAGGATGGAGTTTTCAAAGGTGCTTTCGGGGAGCTGCTCTCCCAAGTCCCGCGAACTTTCCCGTCAGGACCCTTTGAAAGCTCCAGTCTGTGATACCCGTCCCATTACGCAGCAGGACATGCCCGCCGGGAATCGTTTAGACATGTGACCGTGGCACCAGCCACAGCTGGGCAGAAACAGCCCTCTGCTTTGCAGCTTGGGGGTGCTGATTAATCTTAACCAACCGCGGGAAGTCGGGAAGGCTTTGGCCTCCTCACTTGTCTCCGCCCACCTGCGCATGGAGGCATGGGAAAGAGACCGGAACAAAGCGTCCTGGCAGCTGAGCAGTCCCTGCCACGGCCGACGGTGCTGCCGTACCTGAGGTGGTGTTGGCTGGTTTCTCAAAGGTGCGGCGTCTGAGGTCTGCGAGTTGGTCCAACTGGAACAGCTTGAGGTCTTCCTCGTCCAAGGCGATGTCTCCCAGGAAGGCAACTGGAAAACAGAAAAGGGGACAGGCCGGTGAAGGGGCGGGAGTCGGCGGGGTTTAATTCAGCTGCCTTCCCGGGGTGGGCGGTTCGTAAGGGGCACCCTGGAGTTTGCAGTCAGGGGATGTCATGCAACGTGGGAAGAACCGAGAAAAAGAAGAAACACTCAGGGCTGGGTTTTCACGTGTCCTGCAGCTGCGGCGGAGCCAGATTTTCAAGAGCTCAGTTCCCTTTGGAACAGTTCGGGGTGAAATTTCCCAGTCTGTGGCCTTATGCAGCCCTTACGTCCCACCGAAGGGAGAAAACAGGGTCTTTCAGGGTTTCGGGGATGCATGGGGTTTGTTCTGCCCTCTGTCAACAGGAAGGCTCTGACTGGCATCTAGCTGCCAGGGCAGTCACTGCTCCAGAGACCTGTCCTTGCTAATAGTGTGAGGGGGCTTTGGGGTCTTGGTGCCAGGGTCCTGCATGGCACCATAACACAGCCCCAGTAGGAGGGGCAGGAGCAGCGACTTATAGGCATCGCTAGACTGCAGTGCTGCTAGCTCTTGTGATTTTGTAGTGAGTGGCGCTACGCAGGTTGAACCTCGTTAGGCCGGCACTCTTGGGATACGACTGGTGCAAAGCCAGACAATTTGCCGAATCACAGGAGGTCAATATTGTCTAGCAGCATTGCTTCCTGGGCTTCTAGAAGACATTTCAGGGCAAATTAAAGCTAAATAACATCACAGAGCACTGAGAACCAGGCCTGGTGGGTGTAAACAAACTTTATGGGACCACAGGAAACTTGGCCACACCCATGATAAGTGGCCATCTGGAGAACTAACATCATGCTGGACCACGGAAGTTGCCAAACCAGAGAGGTTCAACCTGTATTTGGTCCGTTTCTCAAGGCACTTTCTGAGCGCAGCTGCACATGGCGAGGTGAGAATCTCAAGGTTCGTACGGTTGCCGAGAAAAACTGGAACACCGGCCCGGGGTGCACCCGAAAGGCCTGGACGTGAGGTGGGAAAGCATCTAGCAGCAGCTCGTTTCTGTGTCCCCAATCTCCTGACCGGGAAGCCAGTCCCAGGATGTGCGGAATATGACTCATGATTTGTCCAGGCTCGGCATTAGCAAGACTGCCAGGGTCGGTTTATTCTTCAAGCCACACCAGAGGCGTCCCAGACATTGCTAGTGAGACAGGTCGACCAGATGCCTTGACGAGCGGCTCTAATGCGGAATCTGGTCCTCATCACCAGGGGCCCAGCACCAGGCCTAATCTGCACGCCAGCCCCATTGACGGCGGAGTCCTTGTCGCAGCCCCACTGCGTAGGAGTGAATTTCACTCATGCGGTTTGCAGTCTCCAAAGCAGACCTTTCCACCTGGGACCAATCAGTAGAGCCCTAAAAACCCGCGGATATCCGCTGTATATCCAGGGATAGGGACGCAGATCTCTGCAGCTCATTTTTGCGGATACAGCATTTTGTATCCACGTAGGGCTCTACCAAGCAGGAGCATCCGGAAAAGCCTGAGGCTGCTCTCTATCTGCAGTGTGAATTTGGACCAAGCCAGTAGCTCCCAAAAGATGCTATCGACATTAGAGTGCAGTTTCCCCTTCGGTAGCTGTGTGGCACAGTGAGGGCTGTCAATCAATCGCCATTAACACGACACAGGGGCTGTGTCTAGACTGGCAAGTTTTTCCGGAAAATCAGCCGCTTTTCCGGAAAAACTTGCCAGCGGTCTACACTGGCCGCTTGAATTTCCGGAAAAGCACTGACGATCTCATGGAAGATGGTCAGTGCTTTTCCGGAAATACTACGCTGCTCCCGTTCGGGCAAAAGTCTTTTTCCGAAAAACTTTTGCGCAAAAGGGCCAGTGTAGACAGCACAGTACTGTTTTCCGCAAAAAAGCCCCGATCGCGAAAATGGCTTTTGCGGAAAAGCGTCCGTGCCAATCTAGACGCTCTTTTCCGAAAACGCTTTTAACGGAAAACTTTTCCGTTAAAAGCATTTCCAGAAAATCATGCCAGTGATGTGGAAAAGAATGTGATTGCCCCAAATTAATCACGGTTCTTCGCCATTTCAATTGCACTGGTAAACAATAACACAATACCATCTATTTAAATGTTTGCGGTGTTCTTCTGTCTTTCCAAAAATATTGATTTCAGTTGCCACACAGAATACAAAACGTACCAGGCTCACTTTGCATTATGATTTCGGATTACAAATATTTGCACTGTAAAAAAGATAAAAGAAACAGTATTTTCCAGTTAACCGCATACAAGCAATATAGCGCAGTGGTTCTCAACCAGAGGCACAGGTACTACTGGGTGAACATAGAGGTCTTCCATGAATAGTAAATATCAGCTAGATATTTGCCTCGCTTTATAGCAGACTGCAGAAAAAGCACTAGCAAAGTCAGTATAAGCTAAAATGCCATACCGACTATGACTTGTTTACACTGCCCTATAGCAGTGTTTCTCAACTTTTTGTTTTATACAGTACCCTTTAAAAAAATATATAAGTACCCCCAGTACCAACAGTTTTCAGACACACATTTTTTTTCTCTACGGTTGCAACAGATTTGTTTAAACAACTTAATTGTAGTCCTACAGTTGCAACAGATTTGTTTAAACAACTTAATTGTAGTCAGGTGGGTGATGAAATTTTTGGGCGTAAAAAGTACAAAAATAATAAAACGCTGTAAAACTTAAAACAAAAATCCAGTTTTCTCCAAATTTCAGTTGCGTCGACGGACCCCCCAGACTTCTCTCCAGTACCCCTAAGGGTACTCGTATCACTGGCTGAGAAACACTGCGCTATGCAATGAAATGCAAAGTACAATATTTATATTCCAATTGATTTACTTTATAAACTATACTAGAAGATTTCACTAGTGTTGCTCGGGTCCCTAATTTTCGTTTTACTCTCTCAGATAGATAGCAGATGTGTTGCAAGCTTTTGCCAGCAGAAGGTTCCCTTCTTCACCAAATAAGATTCCCGTTGCTCGGGTCCTTAATTAACGTTTGTTTTTATTCATTTAAATCATTGCTCTGGGGTGGGGCTGAGGAGGAGGGGGTCAGGAAGCAGGCTGCCTGGGGGAGAGGGGACAACCCCAGCTCTCTCTCACCTCAGCAGGTTGGGGCCAGGTGAGAAGCACCTCTCCATGGCCGCTGCAGCTCCAGCGGGCACAGCCGGGGGAGGGGAGCATATCCTCTAGATGGGGCAAGTCCAGCTTCGTCTGCCCCCCTGCGCTCCCCAGCCAGAGTGAGGAATGCAGCAAACGGGGCACTTTCCTCTCGCAGCATGATGAAGGGGAACAGCCAGCAATGTTCCCGGACAAATTGTGGGAGGAGCTTCAGCCTCCCCTCCCCCCCAATCTCCCTAAAGAGCATCTGTGGGGTGGGAAGCTCAGGCCTGGGGCAGTCCCAGACAGAATGGGTGGGGGACACTCCCAGCCAGCCTTTTCCACTCGCCTGGTGATTCTGTCTCTTTTCCGTATGGTTTTATGAGCAGCAATCCCATTCCAGGCACATCCCATTGTCCTGGCACAACCAAACCCTGGCCTTGCTTTAAGTGATGATAAAAGGAAGCTGCCTGCCGAATTTGTTGTTCCTAGTTCTTATTGTTTAGTAGGGGCTCTTGAACAGACAGACCGACTGACAGACTCTCTCAAATAAATAGATTTTGGAAGCAAGTCGTTTTTAAGTGGGGTGAAATTTTGGGAGCACCTGACAAATCAGACTCCTGAAAGGAGTAAAGTAGTCTGGAAAGGTTGAGAACCACCACTGTAGTGCAATATCTTGATTGTGAAATACACACAATATTTACAAATATGGGGTTTTTTTTGGTTACATAACTACACTGGAAAACAAAACAATGTGACACTTTAGCACCTACAAGTCCACTCAGTCCTACTCTTTGTTCAGCCAATTGCTCAGACAGACAAGTTGGCTAACATTTGTGAGAGAGAATGCAGCCCTCTTACTGGCGCAGTCACTTGAAAGGGAGAATAGGTGTTTGCATGGCACTTTGGTAGCCGCCCGGGCAAAATGTGGCACGCCAGATGTGCTAAACGTTTTGTTTGCCCCTTCATGCTTGGGCCACCTTCCACAGGACAGGCTTCCATTCTATTATCGTTTCACAGTGCGATTAAAACGGCGATTAATCACGATTTAAAAAAAAAAATCGTTTGACAGCCCTCGGAATAGCTATCACTCGTTGGGGCTAACGGGTGCCTCTATGCGCAGCCTGAGAAGAGGCCAAGGGTGGTCCCTCGGATGCTCTTCTTGACTTTAGAAAGGATCCCTTGTATGTCACAGGGGAAGCACATACCTTGCTGGGAAGAGTTTGCCCTGCCCTGCCTGCTCCACGGACAAACAGAAGAGCCTGTTCTTCAGGCTGTCGCGGCAGAACATTCCTCCAGTGCAAGGAGGTGTCAAATGTTACCCTTCGGCATTCGACTGCACGAGGTGGAGGCCAATGCGGGCCCACACCCCCGGATGTGCCTTATGGATAGAGATTCCAGGGCTGGACGGGATCACGGGGCGAATCCCAGGGCAGCAAATTCCACCCGTAGCTGGGTGAGTTAGGAACCCCAGGCGCACTCCAATCTGTTAGGTTCTCATTGCCACCAGCACATGAAGCTCAGCTCAGCTGAATTTCCTTGGCCACACTGCAGCTGCAGTGCCCTGGGCATGTTTGCCAGCTCATGAGGGGCCCTGATAATCACAGCATGCGATAGGGGAGGTTAGGGGGCAACATCCGCTCTCTCGTGACCTTCCCATGGATTCAAGCGTGCACAAGCATAGCGGGTCATGTCACAATCCCAGATAACCAACCTTAGAACCCGCGGCGCCAGGGCAAAGTGCGGCCCCAGCCAGGGATCTCACCTGCACCTTGGAAAGAATGCAGCAGGCTTTGGAAAGGGTTCAGAAAAGGGCAACTAAAACGATTAGGGGTTTGGAACGGGTCCCATATGAGGAGAAGTTAAAGCGACTGGGACTTTTCAGTTTAGAAAAGAGGAGACTGAGGGGGGATAGGATAGAAG